GAATATTTAAGAAATCTTGTCAGAAAAATATGCCTCCTCTGTCCTTCTGAATGAGACTGGAAGAAACTCAGAGAAAAATATTGTAAAGTTTTCAAATTTACAATTAGAGAACACTCTAATATATTCTAAAAACTTACTGTATAAAGAAAGGTAAATTATAGACAACGCTAAGTGACCTGCTAAATAAAATTGAGCTGTTGTTGTTGTTATTGCATTTTTTAATATATGTAATTATTATTTATTTACTTTTGTGTATTTTTGTTTTATTTATTTATTTAAATAATTGATTTATTTTTAAATGAAAAATGAATTAACCATTTTTTAAAAATTTTTATAGTCATGCATAAGTATGTTGGCTTGAGAAATAATCATTTCTTTTAGGAAGATATTTGAAGAAATCCAGTGTGTAAGTTAATATTTTGACAAGAATCGATAATTGCACTTTCAATAACTTTTCATCTAAGTCAATTATTTTCTCTTTTAAAAAGTACGACATTTTTAATATTGAAACTGTGACTGAAATCATTTCTGTGTATAACTAATACATTGAATAAATTGTTATGTAGATCATTCTTATATTCATAAATGAGTTTTTTGTTAATTTCTGCAAGTTTCACCAATATATTGTAAGGAACAGTTGTTATAGTTTATTTTATTTATTATATATCCCTGTTTTATAATTATCATTATTAAAGTTATTTTCAGTTCTGATCATATCCATAATCATTTTAGATGTGATTGTAAATATTTTAATATTACTAAGATTGGAGATATTATTTTGAATAATAGATGTTAAAGAGTTAGTAGGTAATATTATATATCTATTTTTATCTAATTTATCACACACACATTTCATTTTTCAAGATGGACTACTCAAGTGTAACAAGTGTTAATATTTTTTTCGTTGAAATATAATAAATAAATCCCAACATGAAACATTTAAATGGTTCCTGGTTGAAAATAAAAAAAAAAAACACTGGTTCTTGTACAATCAACGAAGTTAAGCAGCATCGAGCTTGATCAGTACTAAGATGGGTGACCACTTGAGAATACCAGGTGCTGTAAGCTTGGATGTGCAGGCGGTGTGATGGATAACAGCTCAGAATCAGAAATCAGAGAGCCAAGTTCAAATTCAAGTCAGGTTCATTATATTCACTTATGCACAAATACCCTTGGGAAAGGCATGAATCTACCTCTTCTCCCTCCAGCTAAGGGTTAATTAGTAAGACTTCTATCAGTAAATTATTATTATCTCCAAAATTCTTACATTCTATTTTCTGGCTTTAAATAACCTGCATAAGCAGTAAAAAAAATCAAAAATAATTCTGATAGTGTTGAAATCTGGATTGATGTCTTTGTTATTTTTTAAAGTGTTCCAGTAATCTAATTATTAAATAGAAATCTTAAGATGCTAATTTTTAATTTTTCTCTTCTGTTAATAATCAAAGAAAACACTTAAACTATAGATTTATTTGAATAAGGAAAGGAAGGAAAATGATATATTTAGCACCAGAAGTTAAAGTTCAGTTTTTCAGGCTTATGCCATGTACACAGGAGTAAATCATCCTTATTCCTTTGTATTCCAACTCCCCAGGTGATGCTTCCCCAATCACTACAATTTTAACCTTTTCATGTCCTGTGCCTACCATTATTTATCCTACATATTCTCTTAATCTGCACTTCTTTCCTTCTCCTCCTCCTTCTCTTACATCCATAAAACATCATCATTCAGTTACCTTGAGTGGCTCCTTGGCCTTGTATTGGATGAACAATAGTGCAAAAAATTAGACAGCTGAGTTAGGGAGATAACATTATCTTAGTCCAATGATTATATCCCCTGACTATATGAATTAGGGTATACTATAAAAAATGGCTTCAAGCAAATAAATCCTTTCATTCTTAAATAAGCCGATACTTCATCACACCGTATAGAATGGCACTACAAAATCACAAATATTAAAACTAAAACTCACATAAATGGATCACTTCCAGTAGAAATAACAACAAAAATGGCTAACACATGTAACTCAAAGGAAAAATAACAATATAATCAAAATAATTACTTTCCACACCAAAAACAAAAGATTTCTAAGGAAACTTACATTAATACTAGAAAGAGCAATAAAAGTGAATTTGAGAAGTCTAATTTCTCAAAGAAAAAAACTTTTTTCAGGAAGATTTAATAAACTTTAATTGACAGTAAATGCTAACTGTTCGGTCAATGAATGGCAAATATTTCCTTAAATTTTAATCTGCAAAAATTTAAATGCAATTTCAATCACTATCTACTGTCCTCCTGATTATTCTTTTTGCTTTCTGTTGATTATTGATGTTCTGTTCCTAATTCTTCCACACCCTTGTGCTTTAGTGGCTTTACTGCCTTGCTTGATGAGATACAAAAAAAAAAAAAAAAAAATGAAAAAAAAAAGGATAATGGCTATTCTCACTATTACCATAGTGGTTGTAGTCAAGTATATTACCTATTATTACAATAGTGAACCAGGATTCCAAGTGCTGATTTTTAAGACAGTCTAATCTTCTCCACTTGAAAAACTAGAACATTTCTCCCTTCTTTCTTGCCTTGAATGAGTGAGTGTGATTGTATTAAGAGCTAGGAATTAATTCCAATGCATTGCATTTGGATGTGGTTTTGTAGCTCCACCCATGAAGTTAGTACACCATTTATCTTGGCCATTTGAAGTCTGTAAAGTTGACTTAAGCTCAAAGATTATGACCATTCTTATCATTACTTTACCCTAACTTACTTCTGGACCAGAAAAAGACAATGACATACCCAAGAGACTTTGAGAACTTTGTTTTTGTTGCTTCTACATTAATTGTTTATATGTGAATATGCATCCATCTGCAAGACACCAATACTCAAAACTTAAATTACATAATTAAATTCATAGGCTTTATATATATATATATGTGTGTGTGAAACAAAGATTGTATTTCACTAAAAAATGAGCGACCAGTATATTTCTAGAAGATAACATTTTAAAGTCTTAGTAATTAAAGTCCTTGATGTAAAAAGACAGAGTATCTTATTATAATACTACTTGTCCCTCCCTTAGCATGTATGCATGTTACATCCTGCCAATACCTCATAAATAATAGACCATTCCATTTTCACTGCATGGAAAGACAGAAAAGACACATCAGAGACTCTACTTGATTTCAGTGAGAAAATGAAAGAAAGAAGAGAAAATAGAAGTGTTTAACTTCCTTTTGAGTGAAATGGAAAAACATCAGTTTCAAATTTTTTAATTTCTCTTACTTCTTAAAATAATGACCAGCATTCACACTGATGATTGTTATTGAAATATTTTGTTAAAGTTCTTAAGCTCAAATATTTAACAATGCGATAGTGGAATTTTTATGGATATTTTATTGTCGTACGACTTGTCTTGAGCTTCTTCAATCATTAACTGAAGAATTAAGATTCATAAGAAAATTCAAATAGGAAAAGTGTGAAATTTTCATGGGTATTTCATTAATAATAATAATAAAATTACATTAAATGTTATCTTGTTTCTACTCTGAGTTTTTCAGAATTACACCCACTCTTCAGGAGACTTGATTGTAAAATATCCTAATCATGACAAGTAAATGTAATGTTTGAGCTGGGACTTTCTGTGATAACCTCAGGACTGGATACTGGATTACAACAACAAATGTAACACTATAGAGTCTGCATGAGCTCATATTCCAGTCTCTAGCCCGATGTCATCTTGGATAAGTGTCCTCTTTCACTTGTGTTGTAGTTAGATCGAAAAAAGTCCCAAACTCAGGATTAAAGCCATACTAAACCAATGCATAGATCTTTATGTAAACAACTTGATCTCAAGGAATTTTAGAGATACTCTTTTATCTCAGCTGAGGAAGAAATTTATTTTTTACCATCATCTTTGCCTGCCTTGTCAAATTTCATGAATGAGTACAGAGCTATACTCAATGATACTAAATTAATTAATTTAACTAAGGTAATATTCAGGTTCATTTCCTTAACAACCACTGATCCCAATCATTTCTCTAAATTAATTAACTTTCTTAATTAGTTTAATTTAATTCCAATAATCATTAAATTCATGCAAGCCTTTGTTCACATTTGTCCCTGGTTCTATATCATAACACATTTAACTGTTTAATAAAAATTATCGAGCCTCTTTATGAATCTACCCATCACACATAAGTAAGGGTCTTCTCTGGGTTGAATCTATCAAGCAGTTCTAAATTACATTCAGTGATCGAAAATATTATTCAGTTTTTCATTCTTGATTTTAAATAAGGGCTGAAAAAATATTAATTCTTTTTGAAGACAAGATTTTATACACATTTACATATAAACAGTTAGGTAATCATTGATTTATAAAAATTCACACAATTTTTCTTTTCTTTTTTATCACTTTTGGTGCACTGTATATTTTGTTGTAGTTGGCAGTCAGATTTTCTTGAAAAATGAAAATTATCTACAAGATTTTTTGGCAATTCTTTGTTTCTTTGCTTTGGTCTTCTCTGACATTTTTGTTGACAGCATTTTTTTTCATCAAGGTTTCAGTGTAGGAACAAGTTAAGGGTGAGTCAATTGTTAATCAATTGTGCATTCTTTTGAATCCCATCTTCAGACAACATTGGAACTTGGCTGACTGAACGTTTTTGACCAGACACCGATTGGAAAGACTGCCAAACATTGAAAAACAAGTTATTTAGCAACTCTATCCACTCTCAAATCTTTTGCTCATTTCTGCCTCTTTTTCTGTTTTCTTTTGCACAAGATTTCTTACTTTCATCCTCCCCCCCCCATTCCTTGTTAATCTTTTAGTTTCTTACCCTTTCTTTCTTTTATTATCTGGTCTTCTTTATTTCTCTCATCTAATCATTTTCTCTTTATTCTCTCCTATCTGATATCCTTTCCATCTGATATCTTTTCTTCCTTTCTCTCTCTTTACTCTTTCTCTTCAACTAATCATCCCTCTCTCTCTGCTGTCTTTCTCCATTTGATGTCTCCACTCTCTGCTATTTCTCCATTTGATGTGCCCTCACTCTTTCTCCATCTGATATTCATTTCCTCTCTACTCTCTCCATTTGATGTTCTCTCTCTCTCTACCACGAATCCTCCTTCCTTCTCTCTCTACTCTATCTCCATCTGATGCCCTTCACTTTCTCTCCATCTGATGCCCTCCTCTCAATCCTTTCTATCTATCTATCTATCTAGCTAGCTAGCTAGCTAGCTAGATAGATAGATAGATAGATAGATAGATAGATAGATAGATATACACCCAATACTTTTCTACTTCTTCCCCTTCTCTCAACTTGTGATTATATTTTTATTATTGGAGTTTTTCCATTTTTCCATATTTTCTTGGAATTTAGCCAATGTCTCTGGTGAACATTCTTGAGAAAATTAATTTATTATTTGTTCTGCCAACATTAAAAGAAACCAAATGAAGATATTTTCTTCAATTAGCTTCCTACTTTTTTGAGAGAACTAAACTTTTCTCAAGAAAAGCTGTTTTTCCCTTTTATTTTTTGACATGTTCCAAAACATTTCAGTCTTTAATCATAACAGCCATCTTGCTTTCCTTGACAAAATTTTAAAGATAAAAAAAATTTCAAAAATTTCTTCTGACAAATTCTAATTCAGTTCTCCCCTTGCCACACCCCTTTTCACACAATTTTAATTTCTCCCTTACTATAGTACTCCCTTTCTTCTTTTTCTTTTTACTCTTCTTCCCAGTTTCTCTTATATTGCCTTCTGTGGAAGATTATTTTTCCTTCAAATCATCTTCCCTTTTCTCTCTCTTTCAATTTTTCATATCCTTACACAGCCTCTCATTAATATTTGTTTTGCCTTTCATTCCTCTTTCTTTCTTCCAGTTTCACTATCCTCCCACTTTTCCTCACCTGAATCTTTTTTTTTTTAATTGGGGAGGATTACCTGAAACCACATACCTTTTCTACTTCTGCTTTTATTTAAAACAACTGATTATTCTTCCGGGGTTTTAAATACCAACCCCACCATCCCCTTTCCAACCTAATTCCCTTTGGACAAGTGCAGACTAGCCTCACCCTTAAAAAATCATCATTTGTGGTGGGGAGTGTGGGGCTTTCTCAAATAGGAACAAATACTTGCCCCTCTTTCCCCAACCCAGCTTACCTCTCTTCACCCAGAATTCTTTTTAAGTAAGGACAAAATAAATATCTACAAAACAAAAACTATCACCTTGTTATTTTTTGTTTTTGTTTTTCCTCTCAGCTTGTGATGAAGAAATGAAATAAAACCTTGACTGGAAAATAAATAAATAAAGTTAAAATAGATAAAAACATAAGTAGACAAGATGGTGTCTTGAGGCTCAGTTTGTCTGGGTCAGCCTCACCCTCATTCTTGGAAATTCTCACTTCTACACAAAGTGCCTTCACTCTCAGGGTAGACATATCCTTTACTAATCACCTTTACAAACAGGATTGGCTTTTGTTCAAGTGAAGTGTCCTTTCCAAAACCTTGGGCAAGTCGGTAATTTTGCCTAATGCTTTGAAGAAAGAATTTCAGCAGACTTAAACATTAGGAATCACCAAACACCAATTTTGTTAAACTGATATAATCCTTGTATAGACACACTGCTGCAAAAGACAACAGCTATGCTGCCAACAGAGATGTTATCACATGATGATGCTGAGGTCAAGCATGGTTTCAGGGCTGAAGCATCATTGTTGCTAAGTTATGAAACTAGGTTTTCTGTCACAGTGTGCAGATGCCATATATTTCTTCATGTATTCAATGATTTATGATTCCAGAATCTAAACATTAATTCAATAATGTGACATTGTCATTTGGTCACTCAATTTTAATCTTCAGATGCTGAATGGATAACGTAAACTTTAACTGGAAATGTGAGATAACATTCTACATTCAATAACAACTATCGGTTCCATTGGGGCACCATATGTACCACAGCCATGACAGATTTGAGTGATTTAGTTTTTTATGGCTTATCAACCTTTCCAAGGTTATTTAAAGCTGAAACATATTTTTGGATTGTAAGAATTTGGTGGGAGATAATGATAATTTTCTAATACAAATCTTACTATTTAACCCATAGATAGGAAGAGAATAGATGAATTCATACTTTTCCCCAATGTATTTGCACATAAGTTAATATAACAAATGCAAAAAATTCAAAATTGGTTCTCTGATTTCTCATTCTGAGTCGTTAGTATACAGTAATAGTGGGTATCAAGAGAAAATCTGTCCTTTTGACAGTATTTTTTGTGGGCTGAAGTTTAAATTTTACTAACAGTGATTTTTTTAAATTTGTAGCTTAAGCAATAGAAATGTGGTTCTACAGAAGGATGCATGGACTGAATATATGATTAATGATGAAATTTTAGAGAAAATGGAAACAAAAAGGAGACTTATATCAAGAAAGTCAGTCAGTTAAGTGCCATGCGTGATACACACATAGGCAATCATGTATCTTTCGATACATGACTGATGAGGCAGATTTTTTCCCGCAATAGGTTAACATTTTTTTCTGCGGTAGACAAGTTGCCATCCAAGGCAAACCCAGTCTGTCCTGCTATTTATCCATAGCTGGGGGGAGAAGAAGAGGATACATACCTTTCCCAAGGGTATTAGCACATAAATGAATGTAATGGATTCGACTGGAATTCGAACTCTGCTCTCCAATACCTCAATCCGAGTCGCTATCCATTACTTCACTATGCCTCCTAATATCAAGAAAAGACAATTGAAACTTCTAGGGCACATAATAAGGAAAGAGGGCTTGGAAAATTTGATACTCACAGGATCAACTGAAGACAAAAGGGACAAAGGAAAATAATGCATAACCTTGAGTGAATGGAAGTTGGAACAGGGGTTTGTGGGAGATGGCAAAAATACAAAATTTATTTAGTACTATAAAGGACAGGAAATTGTGGACAGCCATGATTGCCAATGTCCTGAGGAGATATGGCATATAGAAACAGATGAAGAAGAATCTTATATTCCTGGTATTGGTATACTTTACAATCCTGAGATTTAGACTGTTGTCAATGCACTTGACCAATTTTATTGAGATGGCTCTTTTCTGACGTGATCATATTAGTTGTCCACCTATTTTTCACATACTAAGTTTAATCATACACAAGGCCAAATAAGCAACATTAGAAAGATTATGTAGCAATTAAGACTGTTCTTTTGTCAACTGTTAAAAACCTGAGGTCAAATAGAAAATTACATTCTGGTTCAAAATCCTCACATGGGCTGAGAACATAAGCAATATTGTTGTGAGCAAGTAATGAATATATAACAAATAAGACAGTTCTTTTGTCACTTCTGAAATCTATTAAATGCATGTGCAGAAAATTATTATTTATGATTGGAATTTGTCTTTTATTTAGAGTCACAAAACTGTTTACCGGGATACCAGAGGTTTATACTGTCAAAAGTACATCTCAATTAGAGGAGGACAGAGCATTCCCTGATGTTTGCAGTTAGCATTAAAATCACAATGATATTTTTTTTTTTATGAAATGCCCACATTCTTTAAAAATTGTATAGGGATAAATACTCGCATATCTTTTCTTAAAGTGAGTGTGTGTGATAGGCTGTTATAATAATAGCAACTTTATCTTCTTATATGTGCTGTGTCATTTCAAGATGTGTGTAAATGGCTGTCCACAACTTCCTATCCTTTTTAACTCTAAGCAATGTTTGTCCCTATACTATGGATGACAGAATAGGGACTAGAAGTGATTTTAATTCCTGTTCTGCCATCCGTTTACACAAACAAATTATGTAGGTTACTCATTACTTCCCTTTTGCTTTCATTATATCGTCTGAATATCAAATTCTCTAAGCTCTCTTTTCTTATTATGTGTTGCAGAAATTTAAAATCTCTCTTTCTGCTTCTAAGTACAAGTATCCATTTTGTTTTTATTTTCCTTAAAATTTACTTGATGCTCACATGCTCTATCCCTGGTCTTCTCAACATCCTTTTGTAGAACCACATCTCTGTTGCCTCAAGTCTCTTCTTCATCTGTGAGGAAATTGTCTAGCATTCATATTTAAGAGGATTGTTTATTACAGAGTATTTCAATACTATTTCTTTGCTTTCAATGAAATTTTACTGTTTCTTAATACTTTGTTTAGTTTTTAGAAGGCATCTTTCACTATTCTAATATAGTTTTGGATAAATAACTAAAATCTTCACTAAGTCTGCTGTTAGTTATTAATGAATCTATAAAATAAATAAGGTTATTCCCTCCCAAATATATTTTTGTACTTGCAAAATCCAAAGTGCAAGAAGCACTCTCAAGTACCAAATAAAAGGGGGTTGCAATAAATGAGGAGATTGAAAAAAGTGAGAAAATCAAATAAACATTGGTGGGGGGGGGGTCTCATTAAATGGAGTGTTTTGGAAATGATTAATCAGAAGTCTTTCAAATTATAACATGAACTCAAAGAAATTAATAGAAATAAATGTTTTTAAGTAAAATGCTTTAACAAAATCAAAAATATTTCCATGTGATCTTGCCAACATTATAATAAATATCCATAAAAAAAAAATTTTTTAAATTTAATAAGCTAGGGAGTGATGCAAAAAAATTCAAAAATTAGCAAGTGATGGGGAGGTGATATTCACTTGACACCTGACAATACATTTCTTTAATTGTAAAATATTATGTTTAAATAATTTTATTTACACACAAAATATTTTTAAAAAATCTGTTTTTGTTATTTAAATTTTCATCTATTTTTCATTTGTCTTCAGTTTTGTTTTTTTTTTTGTAAAATATTTAACATGACTTCATAGGAAGGTGTGGCAGCCTAGACATTTTGCTAGTTCCTATTAACCCACATGCCTCACCCTTGCAGATGATGGAAAGAAGCACTACATACACTCAGTTTTGTAACACTTTTCTAAAATCCTGACCGTGAAGAGCAATAAGGTTTGTCTGGTCGAGACAACATGACAACCATAATTTTTACTTTTTCTTTCAAACAACATCTTAAGCATGTTATTCCAGTCATCAAACTAATCTTTAAGAAATTCATAAAAAAATCATGCAAGAAACTCAGTAAGATTTATATAAATCTTACAGTATTTAGAGAAAAACTTACCGGTTAGAGAAAACCTTATAGAGAAAA